ATGGGCTGAATTGCACAAAACGCATGATCGCACCGGTTAGTCTGGTGCGCGTTGCCATTTATTATTTATTTCGTACGAGAATCCACTTTTTTTTTCTTCAAAAGTCGCTTCGTTTCACCTTTCCATTAGGCACTCCCATGCCTATCCTACTTTTGCTGCGCATACTCTCAAAAACAAGTTATACCTCTTGCAGACCAGGGGTAGCCTATAGACGTAGGAAGGAAGGTGACAGAAGGGAAGAAGCAGTTTGCAGCCCCGTATACACTGTGATATAGCCTAAGCTTTGCTGATGATTTTAATACTTGGCCAAATTCTAAAATTTTCTAATACTCTCACTCAATATATCAACATTTAGTTGTTCGCTAATGCAATTTATGATTTACAGATGGTTAGCTTACCCTTACGCTAATAGATGTGAATTGACACTGCGCCCATCCTGCCATTTTCTTCAGAGTGGGCAACAGAAAAAGATGGGCTGTAACCCAGGTCGAAACGGGGTTTCCAGGCAACCCGAAAACAAGCTTCTCTTTGCCATCCCAATTTCCTGCAGCGAATGTTGTCGGTAAGCCAGGCTTCATCAGCACTCGCCCAAATTTGATCTCAAAATTCATTCGTTGTAGCACTTCCTTCAGGTAATCCTGTAAACAAGCAGTTCTTGTCCAAAAAAATTTCATCTCTACCTTTCGAATAAAAAATTTATTAGTGTTTTCGAGACGGCACTGTTCGCGACAGTTCGTTCTGCTACTACTCTCCACTGCACTGTTCACCACCTTAATGAAGCACGTTTCAGCAGCACATTTGACCGATGCTAGCTGTCGTCAGGGTTAATGCGAAATGCGACGCTCAGCACTGCGGATGTTTTTTTGAAAACCGCTATAACAGATTTCTGTCAAAAACAATGATACCTTTTCACCCATGGAAACGCCTCCTGAGCAAACAGCGACGTCGCACAACATTAGCGCTGCTTCCAACGCCTCCTGTATGTTCTCTTTTCTGAAATACTGACGGGTGGGTTTTGTAAAAAACAGATTTTTGAAACAAAAACAATAAATAAGATCTGACTCATCCGGCACAATGCCAGCATCAAATGGTTCGAAACTGTATTCCTTCACTAAAGCAATAAGCTGTGGACGATTGGTGTCACGTACTGAACCCACCGGACATTGATCCGACTCGCTGTCTACCACCTGAAGTTCAAAACAAACACTTTGTCTTCTTTTAGCAATAGACCAAAGTAAAATATGAAATAAATATGATATGTGGCTCCAACAATTACTTCGCCATATTGAATAAATAATATTTTCATTTTTTCAAAAACACAAAAAAGACGATATACTTCATTGCCTGTAGACACAATGGCCACTTTAGGCTGCTTGAAAAGCTGGAGGAACTTTCTTTCCGCCGCGGACAGAATCCCAATCTCTGCTGCACCGATTACACAGCCCCTCGATAACAGTAACTCGCCCAATTTTATGTCGCATCCAATTTCCCTAAAAAACAGAAACTGACTGGAAAAGAGCATCTAAATTTTGTTGATTTCCTTTGTCTACTTTTTACAGATTCTGAAATGGCCACTGTTATTTGATTAATTTTGACCTTTCAACTGTCTCAATAGCCAAAAGCAGCAAATGGATTCAGCAATAGTAAATTTAACATTAAAACAACGTTACTGTGAACTTCTTTTGCTAAAAGTTAAGTACGCCACTGTACGATAGTTACTGCACCTGATTCTATTTTTCATTATTGTTGTAAAATGAGTCTACGACGTAGAGCCTGGTTGGGCTGAACGCTATGAGGAGGCAAAACTCATGTGTACTCAAGAAGCAGCCTTTCCGGGAACCCACGGAGTCATAAAGTTCACGCAGTCTAGGCGCTTCTGAGCAAGGTCACGAACAGTTGGCCCGTCGAAACGGACCAGTTCCAAAAATTATTTTGCCGTGAGTATCACTTACGAAGCGTACACTGATTTCTGCGAAATTTGCATCACAAATATGCTCGACTGAATCCATCGCAGTGGTGTGCTTTATATTTTTGCCCAAGAAAATGAATGGATTCTTAATGGAAATTTGATAGGATTTCCATTGTTTCTCTGCAACACTCTTTTGCCCATTGGCGTGCGTGTCATTCAACCGCACTTAGAAACGTTGGTGTGCGTGTCATTCAACGACGCATAGTAACGTTGCCGGTGCTGAACGAAGAGCAACTACTAAAATCGGCTTAGTTCGTACTAAAATTCGTCTCGGCTTCGTCGGGCAGTATGTATTCGTTTTTAAGTTCGAGTCTGAGTTGCGAAAATCGCGGTACCGGGTCCTTTGTCCAAGTAAAATTTCAGGTGTCGCATTCAAGACTGCTAAGTTCTGTTTGGTATCACGTTCAGGCTGAGCAGGCGGAATATTTAGGTTGAATGATTTGAAGCAAATACCCAGCAATCACCTTTTAGCTGTCGTAAGAGCCAAATGCAACAATGGGGTTTAGCAATAATAAATTTATCATTAAAACACCAAATAACGGTGAGCTTTTTTTTTGCTGAAAGGTAAGGACTTTGTTACAGGACAGACACTTTACCTGACATCCTGTCCAATTTCTGGTTCGTTTAAAATTTCCACTAAAACTTCTTCTGTTTCCTGGAAAAACTGCATTATTTGTTTTTTTTTTTCGTGATTTCAAAATAAAAATCGAAAATATGTAGAGTAACATAAACTAAAAAAATACGATTCTTGTGAAGTTTTGAAGTACAATTCAAGCAAATCACTAACATTATGCTCCACAAGGCGGGTGTCTTCAATCTGTACTACCGCATCAGCACCATCCGGGACCATAGAACCTTAATATCTCCAACACTCAAGTATTGCTAAGTTAATTTTAAGTTCATCGTTCAAGTACAATAATTTTTGGCAAAAAGCACATGACAGTCGTGGGCTAACAAGTCGTCTTCGAATCTAAAAAAGACTGAATTAATAGGAGTAAAGCTGATTCGTATGAGGAGACCTGTATTGACGCGACATATGGTACCCGGCTGGAGAACTGTCGTAGCCAGTACGCCGGCTGTCGTCCCAGAAACTACTCTTCGAATTCCTTTGCCATCGGCCGCTGGAATTTTGAAAAATTCCAGCTTTTGCCTTCAAAGATAAATATTTCATTCCCGATGTCATCGTTTGTTCACTACTTTTTTTCCAGAATTGTAACCCAGGTAACGACCATCAGGTCTACCCTTGCTACCATGCGTCTTCGCGTGATTTATCATCTAGAAAGGTCGTCTTTCCTACTGTGGTGTGACTGCGGTGTTACAACTCGAACATTTGATACGCCTGTACGCAAGGGGGCCACCCCTAGGCAGAAGCTCATTTGCGCTGTACCTGGACAGCAAACATCTTCAGAAAAATACTGCTTTCTGTTCAGTCTGGTTACCAAGTTAATTAAGTGCCACAGTGTCCCAAACTAAACATTCACTTGCACACATGCGAGAGACAAAGGCATGCTCTGAAGTTGAATTTGAAATATTTAGGTTGCACATGGGCACTAGATATCTACATAAAGTTCCAGTTCTTTAGCATGACTGATTGGCCAAATCACTTTCGTTGCAGTACTTTTGACATATCCGAACACGCGAAACAGGGGCACGACAAAGCTCATTTTACACATACCTGCATGGGTATGGAAAACAAATATTCTTGCAAAATTAGGGTACTCTAATCAGCTAGGTTCCAGGGTTGGCACTTTGCCAGCGATTTGGCAAACTCGATTCTGACATGTCCGCACGTGTGACATAGGCGTGCGTTAAAGCTCGTATGAAATGCTTAGCTTATGAAGGCATAGAGCATCTTTGCGAAATTTCGGCTTTCTACACTATCTGATTCCCGAAATCATTTCCCTGCTGAAAAATCTGCGTCTCTTTCAGCATCCGTTCGTGGCATCCGAATGTACGCGGATGACAATTTTAAAGCGGGCGAGCCGCGCACGCGGTGGGTACACACACCCCAAAAAGCACCAGCTTCCTAGGCTCTCTGGTTGCTGAGTTGAAAGTGGGCAACAAAATGTGAACACATGCGCACATACACAAACAAACAAGCACGCACACACAGACAATCTCTTGCCATTATGCGTTTTTGTATTTGCATGAATATGCAAAAACGCATAAAAAGGATGGCACAATAGAGAGTTACAAACCGATGACAGCATATCCATCTTTAATAGACGTGCGCACCTCCGGATGCGGTTTCATGGCGAGCACATCTTCCGCCAAAACATCGCCTGAATTCCTATTATTCAGAAAACCTATCTTCACACTTTCACCTCTAAAGGCATATCCAGTGTAATTTATTGAAGACGGCTTTAAATATAGCATTAGTACAGGATAGTGAGGCTGCCCTTTCCCGAAAATCAAGGTCTCGGCAAGGAAACTTTTTTTTTGGAAGAACTGACATTAAGGAGTGAAGCGCATATCATGCACCTTTCGGAAGTCACACTTATATTACGCTGTCTTAGCGAATAGGCAGTGAGCATCTGCACATGTCTCTGTGGGGATAGTATGCAGCCACTGAGGTTTTTGCTAGCGAATGGTTGTTACTGGCATTTGCTACCCTTGAAATAGTTCCTGACTGTTTCTGCCTCTCATAAAGAGCGAATACGGGAAAAGTTTTGAATTTTTAACACAGTATCAGGAAAATTTTGTCGATAAAACATTAATTAATGAATCCAAAATGAAAGCTGTGGAAGCTCCTCCTTTCACATCACAGTATTAAAAAGTGCTTTCTCTTTCAGAATCTAGCTAAGCCACTGACTGAGTGACTTAACAAATGATAAAAGTTTTTTATGAAAATTCCAAAAAATCTCATTAAAAAAGAATGATGGAATGTCATGCCACATTGAACATCAAAGAACACCCGTTCAGCTTGCTCTGGAGACGGACCATTCAGGCAGTGAGCCTCTCTGACTGGCTTATTGTGGCGGCAATTGCTCGAACAATCACGAGTGTGTACCTGATTTAATATTTTTGATACTGACCGTTCGCGTTCCATCGATCACCGAAACCTGTCCATCCAGGATACGAGCCGCTTCGTCCACGGACACCGCTGGCCAGGCACTTCGGCGCGCTCGATTAACTAGCGCACTTGTTCCCTCAGCAGTTGTAAAGTGCTCTCCAGCGACAATTTTTTCATTTATCATTTTTCCTTGCTTTGTCTTAAGGATAACAGTGCGCTGCGCACCCCTCGAGCTGTGAACGCAGTCTGACGGCCACTTGTTTTTCAACAACTTTCTCTTCTAAATTTCTACATTTTAGCATAATCACTAACGATTTTATCGTCTAATAAGCTATCAGCTGCTTTCTGACCGCTTATTTGAATAATTTGGAGCACTGTTGAATTTTAGCGCAAAAATGACCACGCAAAACTGCAAAATTCGTGACAAGCATGCACATCTGCAGGACATGTGAGAATGAGTTTACAGGTAGCGATCACTGGACTGATTCTCCTGCTACAACTTTGCTAGTTTCTGTGCAGAATATGAAATCACTTTTTGTATAGATCATTTTTTTACGGAGTACCATTCCATTTCCTCAGTCAGTTTACACTTTCAAACTTCCGTCGTCGCTAATATTATGGCTTATCACATGATAGGGTAAGATGATGCGCCTATATCCCTTATGAATTCATAGGGAACGAACCGTCGGCCTTCTCATCCTTTTTGGCACCCGGACAGCTAAATGCACCGGTATGATGAACACGTTAGAACCATATATCAAATCTTAAGGAATTTGAAAGACCTTAATTTAGATGAGGAGCATTTTGAAATTTGATCAATATAGCCGAGCCATCAGGATTTAAGCTGTAAGGCTAAATTTAGTCTGTTTCAAATTAGTCCAGCAGGAGCGAGACACAAAAACAAGCACTACTGGCCTGTTGGGACCCATTTTTTTTTTCAAAAACATGCAGCAAAATATTGTGGCGCACCAGAGAACGAGCAAGAACACACTTTTTAGATACGAAGAACACATGCATCCGTTAAGTCAAAAAAATGGTCGTGGGGGCTGGGATAATTTACTGACTTGGTTGCCGTAATCTAATTATTAGTTACATTATCAATTTTGGAAGGTAAAAGCTGCTCCATGTTAGGAATTAGGCTAAATATCAACCCAACAACTTGATAACTTCTGCAAATCAAACCACGAAAATTTAGAGTATGCGGTTTGATCGTCTGATGTTGAACTTGAAACTCCAAATTCACCCTATCTGCTCCAATTTTAAAATCATCCCTCAATTCTAACCCCAGACTAAATGACGTGCCATAAAAATCTTGAAAAACAGTTTTTGTTATTAGTCAGAGATATGATCTCTAAAATTTAGAACTGCCTAGCCTTTAGCTTGTGCCTAACTTTTACAGATGAATACACAGGCTCGCAACATATTATGCTTCACCCTCGATTTCTCATGACATGTTTGATTTCAGTCGCAGGGATGAGTTTGATTTGCAACTCATCAAGCAGCAGCGCCAGTGAATTAGGTTACAGATCGACAGGCATCCACTTCATTCCTTTAATGATTTCCAAAAATACTTGCGCAATAACTGACCGGTAGCAGTATTCACTGTTCAGTTTCGGTGGAGCGGTCAAATCGAAAGTGTTCAAATTGTTCGAAACTGGGGACAATAACTTGGGTTCCTCTGTTCTTTGCGAATTATCAAGTTTATTCCGCAAACATAATTTTGTACTACAGGATCCTAGTGATAGCGCGCTAATTAGTTATGAGATACTTGTATTTCGGGCCTGCTGGTTTTAGAGATACAAAATTGACTTCAGTTACTGGTGAGGTCATTGGTCACGTCGCAAAAAAGAACTGGACTGTGAGATTTGCAGTTCTCGGTTTAGGGTTATGCATAAAATTAACCCGGCACAATTTCAAACTGTACTCTGCTTCATTCGGGGAAAAATCAGGGTTAAAATTAGACCGGCCATAAGCCACACGAAAGGGCGTGTAAACAGAAGGTTTCAAACTGTTTCCAGTTTTGTGCGCTCTTGATGCCCCCCCCCCCCCCCCCCCCCCC